TGGTAGAGAAAAAAGATGAGACTTTAAAAGAGAATAAAAAGGATCAAAGTGGAAGCCTTCCTGATATGCAGTGGCAAAGCATTCCAGAGATTGAGAAACCTCCTTTTTTCAGATCAGTAAGACTTATCTAAATTATTTATGTTTGTGTAATATTAGAATATTGAAAATTTCAATTCCATCCTGCAATTCACCTTCTAATGCCCGTCTGTCTGTATCCCAGGGGCTGGTGCCTATTTCCAGCAGTCTTTGGGCGAAGGGTAAACCTTTGACAGGTCCCCATTCCATCACATGCTTCCATCCTTTTTCTCAGAACTAAACTAGCATTTTATTTTGTGACTACTTTAAACTTTAAATTTAAGTTATGTAATTATTTTCTGTGCATGGTTGTGTAGGGGGTTTACTGAACAGAAACTAAAATATGCAAACCTTTGCTACTGTAATACTGATATTAGGGGTACCAGATGCTAACATGTTATGAGCTTTCAGTTAATTTAGATGGCGTTTTAATATCTTTCTTTGCAATGACATGATAGTCAATGATAATGATTCTGCTCTGTTCTGATTGGACAAAAACTCTGACTAACTTAAACCCACCAGACTGTCTCGACATACAGTTAATAAAAAACAATTACGAACAGTTGAGGAAAATAATAAGATGTTTTGAATAAACTTTGAGAAAGAGTCTAGCTTGTTATGAGAAGGATTACTGGGGTGAGGTTAGTTTTAGTCCCGTAAGCCTGGCTCCTAGGATCGGATTCCTGCCTGCTCTCTGGGGTTGCTGCGTTGGAGACACTCCGGACGGCTCTGTGCTGCATCTGGTTCGGCAGCCCATTGGCTGGATCCTGCCTTCCTCGGAGAGGATGGACTGAACTGTTCAACCAGGTAAGTGACTCACCTGGATAATCATCCCCTGTCAGATGATCATGGTCATTTACCTATGTTTCTCCCTCCAGAGTGTCAGTGATTGGCCGATGCTGGCAGGTAACTCACCCAGTTTTGGATAACTTGCCATAAAGACTTTCCACAACTGGCCACAAAAGCAATGATAAGCCTTTGCTGCAACATATCTTTTTAAAAGTGTAATTTCCTCACTCACTTACCTGAAAAATAAATACAGGTCAAGACAGCAGGCTGAGGCTGATATGACTCGCTGCCTAACAACCTCCATACGTCCAAGGTTAGACAAGTTGTGTGCTACTCATCAGGGTCAGACTTCTCACTAATGTGGGTGTATATATGCCATCCTTAGATGGCTTGAGAATTCACTGCCCATACTACATGTTTGTTTAAAATTAAAACATGAATCTGTCAGTTATGTTAATAGTTCAGTATTGTATGCAATATAACAGGTATGTTTATCCATGCCAGTGGCAGTAACAAGCAGCACTAATTTTCCTCCACATTTATGTTTTAAAAATGTAAATTTGAACAGCTTTTATGCATGATTACATGTAATTGACAGACATTGTTGATCTTGGCAGGTATCAGTTTGTCGTGTTATGATATGTTTATAAATAGTGTTGAACCAATGTCATTCTTTGGCCCCGATACCAATACCCGATACCTGGCTGTGTAGTATCCACCGATACCGATACATACCAATACCATCTGTTTGAAATCTATGTGTGTGTATATATGAAGAACTGCATACTAGTTGGATGTAAAATAATTGCCATCATGGCTTTGTCCAGCTGCTGCCTACCTTTGTGAAGCAGGAAAAAGACTAAAACAAAGGGAATCCAGTAGAACTTTTTATTGCCTACCTGGAATGGGTGACAATAGTTAAATAAACTTTTGGCTCTCAAAATGGTATCGGTGCCCTATTTGTTGGTACTCACCGATACCGATACAACAATTTTAGTACAGTATCAGGGCCCCTGCAGATACTGGTATTGGTGGAACACTATTTATAAATGGCAGTGGCATGGCCAAACCACTCACTGTACCTTGCACATGTTTAAAGCAAAAACATGAATATATAACGTGTATTTTTTGAACATCTTAATAGAGGATGCTAAATAACAAGGTACATTTACATATGGCACTATAGGACCAGTTTGATATACGGTAACATAATTTCACACAATATATATAATTAGGGGGTCCCTGCTCGATCTCGCCAACAGTTTGGGGGGTCCTTAGCCTGGAAAACGTTGAAGACCCCTGCCTTAGGGATAATCCTATAATGTTAAGAATTGATTACCTGAATGGTTATTTGTTATTAAGTAAAATCAACTTTCAAATATTATTTTCCCCAAATGTTTTAAACACCTTTTCATTTCCCGTGTGCATTGTGTTTAATTAATTTCAATTTGTCTAAATCAGTTTAAAAGCTACTTTGACCTCATGCCAAATTCTTCAAGGAAAACTTAGGTCTTAAAACCTAAAATATCGTGTTTGTAATTTTACTGATAGTGGTTTAATCTTGAACTGCTCAGTGGAACAGTGGGTTGCACTGCTCCCTTGCAGCAAGAAGGTTCCCGGTTAGATTCCCAGCTGAGGGTCTTTCTGCATGGAGTTTGCATGTTCTCCTTTAGCATGCGTGGCTTCCTCCTACAGTCCAAGTTAGGTTGACAGGCCTTTTGTCTACATGGTAGCTTTCTGTTTTAAATAACAAATGCAAAACATCCTCTTTATTTCATATGTTTGCAAAGTTAAAGTTTGAATTACACTCTGTTGTCCAAAACACAACCAGTTTGCTTTTTATTAACAAACCACAACAGCTGTCCAAAGGTTATCTCATTAAATATTAGATAACAAATGCACAACATCCTGTAGGAGGAATAGTAATCTTTGCTGAACACGATGTTACCATGTTTTTGTTGGGGTTTTTAATGTATGATGAAGAAAAGATGCAGTACTGTAGATGCTGGTCGTTTTCTACAAGGTCTTGTATACGCTGGAGGGTGCAGCTGTAGATAATTAGGCAGACACAGGTGAACTGATTTAAGTAAATGAGACACAGCAGGAAGAACATGACATGAACAGTCTAGAAATAATGGCCATGGTAAGTTTCATATTATTGCTTATGCAGTCTTTGTATTGCTGCTGTATAAATAATGTCAGACAATCACAATTAAGACAACAGGGGTCCCTTATTGAAAATAATAATCTATATCACAGTGGTAAATAAACTATGGAAACACCACAAGCTACTGGAATAAAGACAGAACATGTGAAAGAATCATTAATGTATCAATAATGTATCAGAATGGGCAGTATCAGCAGTTTTCAGTTTATTCAAAGAGGGATGAAATCCTTTTTGCCAGCAAAAATGGACCACAGTTCCGCAGATTGCACCACTTGGAATGTGGTATCCAGGTGGAAGGTTCTCTCTGTTCCATCCAGACTGAGGTCCAGGGGAAGACAGAAAGAAAGATAGCTTTTCTAATGGATTAAAACCTGTTAGGGGGACAGGCTGCATCAAAACACAGATGTAATCTGATAGCCTATCAGTAAGGTTGTGGTTCTGATCCATATCACGACTTACCCGTCTGTCTACGTTTCTACACTCACCTTTAGATAAGATCCCGGATACAGATTCCGGATAACAGCAGGCGAAATGAGCTTCCTTTGCAGCATGGCCAGGAACTCCCTTAGAGATAAGTTGAGAAGCTCTGCCATCCAGGAGGGCTTTGGAAAAGAGTCCCTTTTCCTCCAGGTGGAGGAAACACATCTGTTTTGGATTTTTCCTTGGAGCCTTCTGTAGCACTATTTAAATTGTAAAAGGACTAGATGGAAGAAATTCAGAAGACTAGAATTCGTCTACTGGAGCCGTTGTCAGTAATCAATAAAACACAAAACTGCTTTCAATACCATGTATTAGACAAATTTAAAGTAAACAATACAAGACAACATACATAGAACCCAAAATAAATACAAAAAATATATATACACAGTACTGTGGTAATCCTTTTGTTTGTGCACAACTGGTCTTAAATTCCCCGCTGATCAGTCCAGAGTCTGACCGACACACATTCAGAAATCCATGGTTGGATTATCCAGATATTTAAGTTGAAGAATGTCCCAGCGCAAGTTGTTTCAGATGAAGAGGTGAATAATGGAGTGTATGCCTGAGTGGTGAGATGGAGGGGGGGAATGATACAGACCAGTCCAGTGTGGAGTGATTCTTAAGGCTCTCCTTGCTCCAGCCAGTTTTCAGAAGCTCGCCATCTTTTTCCCTAAAAAGGGATCACCTGGCCTGTATTAAAATAAACAGGACCAGTAAATTTCCAGCCGGCTAGTTAACTAGACTTTTCCAGTTTCACACAGAAATAAATGCAATATCTAATCTGGGTTACACTTCCACAGGAGGTGCTCCAGGCTCGTCCCATCTACTGTAAAGGATTAGGGCTAGGGTATTGCCAGGGAGTTGCCCAGAACGTGATTAAGGGACCAAGCCTCTCGTCTTGCCCTGGAATGCCTCAGGCTTCCCCTAGAGGAGCTGGAGGAGGTGTTGGGGCAGAGGGAAATCTGGGAGTCTCTGCTGAGACCGCTGTCCCCTGAACCCAATCCATCAGCGGAAGGCAATGACATTACCTTTATCCGAACTGTATGACTCTAGGCTTAATTTTCTACTTTGTGTCCAGAACTAATTCCCTTCCTCTCTACTTTTCTCTCTACCTGATTCTCTCACTTTATTCCAACAATATATTCCACCATTGTCCTCTACCTGATACACCATTATCCCGATCTAGTTTCTTACAACCACTAATCTTTCAGTCATCTTAAATTGTTTGCTTGACAGGGTTTTTTTCATCAAACCTCAATAGAGTTATATGCATCCTTGTCAACTGTCTGTGGAGCTTTGTTATTTAAAGGGAGACACAGGTGCATGAGATTGGCATTGATGGCACTCCAGGGGGATCGCTGATTTGCATACTGAAAGACTCTGCAAGTTTGAACAGCATTTCACTTTGATGGAAAAACAATCTATAGCCTCAGGCGTCCCCTGGCTGTATAAAGCAGCTCAGGTGTCTTCTCAAAAACTGAGAATTCAACACAGAGTGCTTCTAAGACGGCTTTCTAACAAACCAACTCAAGGTAAGATTTATTTCTAAACAGGTGAACCTATATTTATACTAACTTTGGTGCAGAGTGCGCTTGAAGGGAGCGCCAAAAAAGTTACTTTGATGTTTTTAGTAGTCTATGCATTTGCTGCTGCTGCAGTCAGATATTTGCTTTAGTAAGTACTTGAGTGTGTTAAAGGATTAAGTGTCCTTATGAGAACCTGCTAAAAATTCAATGCATGGTGCTGTTGATGTGAAACAATAAAGGAAAACTGGATGTGGTTTCTACAGTGTAGGAACCTGCAGCAATGTTGGCCCCAGGTGTGTGCATGAACATCATCAATGAGCGTCGCACCAAAGACGGCTATGGGACTTTCTCTAACCCTGAGAAGTTCCTCAACCAGGACTATCAGGTGCTCAAAGAGTACTGCCTGATCCAACGGAAGAGGTATACCGATGACATGTTTCCCGCAGACCGCTGGTCCATCAGCAGGGAGACGCAGCCGCCTTCATATCTGGACCATGTGAAGTGGCTCAGACCACGGGTGAGTCTGAAAGATCTTTTCAGTTTCATTCCAGATAAGGATTCCCGGTTTTCACATTAAAAAAAGAAACTCACCGCACACATGAACAGTGACCTAAACTAAACATTCAAAGCAATCAGGAAATTCAGGAGTAACTGAAAAGGTTCTTATTCAAGAACAGGCAGCATCTTCCTTCAGAAAGATTGAAAAAAAAAAAAACTCATTAATGATGTAAGAACAGGAGTCAGATTGTGGGGTTAATTTAAACTAAGAAGATGACGGTTCTGAAGGGAAATCTGGCTGAACTCAAACCAAATAATGTTCAAACCAAACTTATGTAAATCTGCTTTTGCGTGTAAATTTTTCCTCCTTATTTGACCCTAGGGCTTAAAGTATGTCTTTCTCAAGCTGTTACAATAGATGTCATTTTCATAAAAAGAGGTTTGGTTTGCCTTGAAGTAAACCAAACCTCGGACATGTCATCAGAGAACGAAGCAACAAAGTGTCGTATTGTCTGAATCCCAACTTTATGTTTGCTATTTTAGGAAATTGTTTCCAATCCTTCCTTCGTTGTCGATGGAATCTCAAGGTTTGACTTTGGTCAAGGATGGGCTGGTAAGAAAATATATTTCATATTATATATAATCATCTCCCCTAGAAGAAGCTGTTGGTTATGTGATGCAGATACAGACCTTATTCTGCCTCTATGTAGGGAATTTGAGTTAAGACTCGATAAGCTTATATTTAGTCGTTTCTACACAGCGGCAGAGGAGGAGGGGGGAAACAGTGCAAGGTGCAAAGCTATTGATTATGTCTACATGAAATTACTGTATGTTAAATCACTTGAGATCTGATGATTACAGTCCAAACCTTACATTTTAAGAGGAACAGGATTTTCATGGTATAGCTTTACTTTAGTTTTTCCCCCCTGTTTTAAATGATAGATTTAGTTGTGAATACAGTTGCTTTTGTACAAATTAAGTTTTCATTTTATAAGTGTGGTTTCACTTGGAACCATCATAAGATTAGATAAATTCAGGTTCAGCTCTCAGCTGAATTAAAAACCCTATTTCACTCCTGGATACACCCTGAACAGGCTGCCAGCTAGTCAAAGGATGAAATAAACTTATATCTATGAAGCCAGTTTAAAGGGACCAAAAGAGCTGCTAAAAGGAGTCCTGGACCAAACTCACACAGACAGGGAAATTATTAATCCTGTTGCATAAAGAGCCCAGGCCAGGTTTCATATCACAAAAAAAAACAGCTTTACCAAATATGCCACTCTGCAGCCTTGTAACCCAATCATTCAAGGCTTTACTATTAAATGCATAAATTCTGCTTTTTTTAGACAACTGCTGGTTTCTTTCTGCTGTCGGAGCTCTAACCTTCCAGGATTCCATCCTGAAACAAGTGGTTCCTCTTGAGCAATCATTTGATGAGGATTACTGCGGACTGTTCCACTTCAGGGTTGGAGCAGCTTTTTGTTCTCTACTCCAAAGTTTTGTTATTTTATTAATATCTCTTTTCTGGATGTAGAATGTAAGGAAACTTTTTTTTTTTTTCTGAAATACTTCTTTTATCAGGTACTTTGGCATTAACTAGGACCTTCAGGTACAACAGTAAAAAGGTGGATAAATTATAAAGTTCATAATAGTATAGGCTACAGTAATAATGTTATAACATAACTTATTTAAGTGCTAATGTATATTTGTTCTACTTGAATTTTAGGCTGATTGAAAAAAATGCAGATAAGAAAATTTAATACCTGACGAAACTATTGGTTTCTGATGGGTAACTATTGTGTTACTACTTTTATAAGTAAAAGAGTTAAAGTTAAGCTTAATTAAGCCTCCATCCACTATCTTAATTTTGTGAAAAAAAATCATCTGGTCTTTATTGTGCAAAAACTTTAAATCACTCCCCCTTGGCCTCAAAGGGCCTTTACATCCTGATGCAAAAAGGTAGAAAAAGGAAAAAGTTTAGGAAGTGTTCTGCACTTAAAGATGAACTTCCCGCAAATATTTTATTTTTATTTACATTTTGCAAGCCCTAGTTAGGGCAGATATAATTTGTTAGCGCCGGTGTGACAAGGCTACTCAACATCACCAATTATTTTCCACATCTTAAGTCAGCAGGAAATGTTGTGGGATACCCTGCTTACATTTGTTGATAGAGAAAACAAAATATTTAAGCCCAAAACAGTAAAGCAGGGTCCCACTTTAACATTTAGTGGTGCATGCAAGGGGCCCTTATGGGGTAAAAAAAATGCATGTAGTGATTTCTTATAAGATTTTTGTGCAAAGTAACACCCACTGTACAGTTCAACACATTTTTATAATAACCATGAATCAGCAAAGGAATTTTCTGTAAAGAATGGGTAATATCTTCATAAAAGATGTATTAAGATAGAAAATGAATTAAAAAATACACATAAAAAATAAAAGGGTATTTTATAGTATTTATTTAAAGAAATAAAAAGGGAAAATAACAAATTTGGAGAGAAAAACATTCTTTTCAAAAAGATCAACATGTAAAACCAATCATTACAGAAGGTAGTGCATAGATGTAAGGAAAGGATACAAAACTTATATATATATATGTACTGTATATGTATATTCACCTAATCTCAAATATTATAACATACAGTTTAAGTTATACTTAACACAATTATTATTTCTTTTGGAAAAAATACAATAAACTGCAACTCCTTATAAAAATGTTTAGTTTTAGTTTTTTTTGTTCACCATCAACTTGAGGACAGTTTGTAGCAAAGCTGGGAAATTTTTCTTTTTTCCGTTTTTTCCTCTCTGACTCTAATGGTTAGATGCAGGAATGAGGTGTGAGTTGAGTTATAGTTTGGCATTCACAGGCAAGGGTTAAATTTAAGCTTATTGTCAAAGTTAGGGTTAGGGTTAGCTTAGAAAGAGATAAAAATGACTGCAAATGAATGGAAGTCAATGTGAGTAAACATATGGTCCTCACTAATATAAATACATCTGTGATTTGAGTTTAGGTTAGGTATGAATTGGTAATGGATGGTTAGGGCAATGGTTTGGGTTTGGCCATAGAAATAAATGTAAGTCAACGGAAAGCCCCCTCAGGGTTAGTGTGATAGAAATGTGTGTGTGTGAGAGTGTGAACAGGGAGAACTTACCTCCTCATGGTACATATTGACAATTATATACCTGCTCTGGAAAATATTTTTATACAGATTTTTAAAAAATAAAAATTCAGTCAATAAATTTAGGATCATTCTATTTTGTCTAGTCTACTATTAATGCAATTTATGTTTTTTTGGTGTTTTTTTTCCAGTTTTGGAGATTTGGAAAATGGGTCGATGTTGTCATTGATGACAAACTTCCGACAATCCAAGGCAAATTAATTTTTGTCCACTCTAACACTCCAACTGAATTCTGGCCTGCTTTGCTGGAGAAGGCATATGCTAAGTATGATGATGATGATTATAATATGTGGTCAGTGTTGATTTTGGCTTGATTGTTTGTGGAACTAACTCTGTCTCACTGGTGTCAGGGTTTGTGGCTCCTATTCTGACATGAACGCTGGGTCTCCGTCTGAGGCGTTGGTGGACTTCACCGGAGGGGTTCACATTTGTCTGGATCTGGCTAAACGACCTCCAAACCTGTGGGAGCTGATGAGCCAAGCCAGCCTGGCCAAGTCACTGATTGGCTGTGGGACACTGCCGGGTGTAAGATCCATTTACAACTCACTAAGGACATTTAACAGCACTAAAGCAAAGGAAGTAAAGAGTTTCAAATAGAAACATATACATAAACAGAAATTGTCCAAAACTCTTTGACCTGATGGTGATTAGAACTTCTCCTCAGTTAGTAATGTTGATCCAGTACCACTCTGCATGATCTTACTGGTTTGTAAAATCAAATTCTTTAACAGAGTTTGAAGGTTTTTCAAAGTAATTAATCAGTTTGCTGAAAATGCATTTGTTTCTTTTTTCCCCCTAGATATTAAGGCATTTTTATAATTTCAAAATGTTATTTAATTTCCGGTATCTTTTAGAGCCTGTTACTTCAGGTGGCTTGCACTGAAGCAGTGGTTCCCAAGCTTTTCTTGAAATAAAGAAAGTGTATTTTAAAGGTTACATTTTTATCACACAGAATTAAAAATTTACAAACTTTTCTTTCTTTATAAATTACCTTTTATATTTCATCATTTATTTAGGCCAAGTCTACCTTGCCGCCCTGCAATTACAATGAGCCACCCTCGGGGACGTGCCCCATAATTAGAGTTTTCACCATAGCTGAGTAAAAGCCCAGTTGCTTCAGATTTAAACCTGTTTCCTTGCTAATGTAATATAACTCCCCATTTCAGTCTATGCTAATTTAATCCTGAAACGATTGCTTTCTTAGACTTCTACCAACTCCCCGTTAGAAAACGGACTGGTTCAAGGCCACGCCTACACTGTGACGGGGGTCAAGCAGGTAAAAACACATTTTTTTTTTCTTTTTCTATTTAATCTACATTATGCAGTTAATATGTAATATATGTATATATGCCTGTGTTTACACAGATCTGTTGTAATTATGTGCTGAAGTGGTATAACTGGTCTGTTGGACAGGTGCTGAGTAGAGGGAAGGCTGTGCGTTTGGTGCGTCTTTGGAACCCCTGGGGCCACGGAGAGTGGAATGGAGACTGGAGTGATCAGTAAGATTTTTTTTTTCTTATTTCAGCTAAGTATTTTTAGGTCTTTTAAGGTCTTCATTCGTCCAGTTGTAATAATCCATTTTCTAGACAGCTCTTTTTTACATGATGTATAATTTCTGAGTTATAATAAGTGAATAAGCTGGATCAAGCATGGAGTAAAACGATCTGAAGGTCTAATACTTGAATTTATTGATGGTAAAACACATTAAATGAGCAACTTAATGAATTAAATGAGCAACTTAATTAATTTTCAAGTGTAATTATTTAGCTCCTCAATATTCCAAAAGTCCAAATATTGCTTTAAAAAGCTGTTTTGTTTTGTTTTTTTTTATAAAAATTGGTGCTGACATGAAAATCTGAGGATTTCGACAGAGTATTAGGACCGGGCCAGAAATTGTTTTTTAAATACCAGAATAAAGTCAGATTATTATGAGAATAAAGCCATAATATTACCAGAATGAAGTCGCAATATTGTCACAATCAAGTCATATAATATTATGAGAATAAAGTTGTAAATTTATAAGTATAAATTAATAAAACTACAAGAAGGAACTTGAAAAATTATGAGAATGAATTCATCATACCACAACCCATTTCAGAAAGAAATCTTCGAGCATACTCTCTTTGATAAAGACATAGTCGTTTGCAAAATCATATTAAAGTTGTGATACTGAAAATAATTTGATGCTGGTGTGATAACGGACTTAATATTTCATTATTTGTGAAATTGTTGCCAAAGTATAGCTTCACAAGATGCTCTGCATTCCTAATTTTAGAGAAGAGTTTTTAGACAGACTATAGACACCTAGCTGAAGTCTGGCTAGGTGACAGGCTAAGCAGGAGCATATGTTTATATATTTTTTATATATTTATATCTATAAGTGTGTATGTGTGTGTGTGTTCTTGTTTTTAAAACATTGAGGGGCCCATTTTCTGGAAAAAAAACTGCTTATTGTGGGGACCGACTGCTGCTTCTGAGGATCAATGCCTACTGTAGACCCAAAGAGGGTAATTACAGTGTTTAGGTCAGGGGTCATGTTTAGGGCTACAGTGCAAAATCGGTTTAGGTTGTGTATACAAAGTAAGTCCATGAATAACTATCCCATTATTACACATAGCTTAATTTTTGGACATCTATAGTTTGATTTCTTTGTATGTCTAGATTGCATGGATTTTTAACGACTACTTGTAAAAATCCCATGTCGATATCACCACCACCAGTGGTTGTGTTTTAATAATTCTGAGGTCTGTTCTGTGGAGTGACTAATCTTGAAATAGATTAATTAAATAAAGTAAGGCTATTTCTATGCATGCTAGATTTAGTGGTTGATATCACATTGTAAGAGGAGTAACATGTTTTTTTCCCCTGTTCTGTTCATTTTTCATGCAAACTTAACTGTTTCTTTGCTAAAGGTCATCTCTGTGGCAAACCGTAAGTCATCATGACAGAGAAACGATGCTTTCTGTCTGTGAAGATGGAGAGTTTTGGTGAGCTGCTGCAGAACAATCAGTTTGTTTTTTTTATAAGTTGTCCCATAAGTTAACTGAAACTGCTTTTTATTATTAATGAAAAATTGTTTGTGTTCAAGGATGTCTCTTAAAGATTTTTGTGAATCCTACGCTGATATTGACATCTGCTGCCTGTGTCCGAGCTTCCTCGATGGAAGCTCCCCCATTCACTGGAAGACCTCACGCCATGAGGGCCGATGGGTTGCAGGAGTGACTGCTGGAGGCTGCATGAATTACCCTGGTAGGCTTCTATTAAAGACCACATGGCCTACTCAACATTGGGAATAGGTTTGATCTGCACACCAATGGAGGATATGTGACCTACTTATGAATGAAAAGGAAACATTTTGGAAACATTTTGGTTGTTTAGAAGGTTTAAATGTATATTTCTCAAAGGAATCTATCAGTTTTAGACCACTTACATCCTTTTCTATATCTATATAGTAGCTTCAGTCATTGCATTCTTCTTCAGAGATAAAATAAATGTTGAATTAATGTCTTTAAGAATGTGACTTTTGGGGGAAATCATAACATTGCCTGAAACACCTCCTGAGGTAGGCTTCCTGGGACCATCTCAAACCGATGTCCCAGCCAACTCAGCTGACTCCTCTCGATGGGGGGAGAGAAGTAGCTCTGTTTCAAATCTTTTCCTTATGGTCAAGCTCCACACCCTGTCTTTAAGGAAGTGCCCATATATCCTGCAGAGAAGCCTCATTTTAGGAACTTGTGTCAGAAATCTTGTTCCAGTCATGATCTAGACTTTTATGACAATTGCTGAGGACAGGAAGGTCGAGTGACTGGTAAATCAGAGCTTTGCCTTCTGGCTCAGTTCTCTCTTAACCACAACAGACTGATGCAGAATCCCTATGATGGCCAATCCTTCTGTCAGTTTCCTGCTCAAACTCCCCTCACTCGTGAACAGCATGTCACTACCTGATCCGTCCCAGAAGCAAGATCCATACCGTCAGCTCATTTGCGAGTCCCCTCTATTTTATTTTGTAAAAAACACCTAAATTATGTTTTTCCCTCCCCCAAAATAGTAAGTGTATAATATGTTAAAGGTTAATAATGTTTTTTTTTCTGAGAAAATAAATGCCTTAAAATCCTTTTTGTTTTATCAGTCATCTGTGCCCGATCTGCAGCGGAAATGGCATGCTACGCTACTTCCAGGAGCTAACTGTCTCGGCTTTGGATTTAAACATAAGTCTTGACTTTTTTAATTTAAATTTTTTCCTTTCATGCTAACATTATGGTATATAGTGCGTAATTTAAAGGGGAAAAAAAATGTATCTAAAATTTAAACATGGTTTAATCATATTTTTGCCAGACTGCTCTGAGCATGTCCGATGATGAGGTCAGAGAAGCATTTTAACAGAGAAAATGCAAAAAGCATCAAAATTTTCTCAGAAAAGTCATATTTTTTAAAGATGTGTATTAGCATTCATTAGTGAGTTAAGGATAGAAATAATGTATATTAATAATAATAATATATTTTAGTACCATAATTACATTATTTATGGACACCCAGATGTATCTCTGGTTACGCATGCGTAAATGAGCTGATGGTGCGGATCGTGCTTCCGGGACGGATCTGGTAGTGACACAGGACTCCAAGATGCTTAAATTCCTCCACATGAGGCATGACTTCTCCTGTGACCTGAGGAGGGCAATCCACCTTTTTCTGGTCTAAAACCATAGACTTGGACTTGGAGGAGCTGGTCCTTATCTTGGGCACTCCGCATTCACATTCAAGCCATCTCAGCACAGGATTTAGGTCTTGGCATGGAAGGGCCAGTAGAACCACACAGTCCAAACAAAGAACAGACAAAACTTATTGGTGCCCAAATCAGACTCTCTGGCCCTTAGCTAAGCCTTGAAATCCTGTCCAAAAAGGTTGGGAACAGGACTGGTGTCAAAGGGCAGCCCTGCTGCAGACCAAAATGCACTGGGAATAGGTCTGACTTAATGCTGTCAATGAAGACCACGCTCTTGTTCGGCTTGTACTGCACCTTCTTCAGGTCCACAAAGCACATGTGGACCAGTTGAGCAAACTTCCAGGAATTATGCCCACTGTAGAGGATCTAGCTAATTGTTTGACCATTGTTTTATTATAGTATACAGTTAGGAATCAACTGCTGTATTATATGTAAAAAGAACCATAATAATCTTGGTAAAACTCCTGAAGGTCTGGCTCTCTGCTTCTCAGAGTCCTTCTGGACCAATCCACAGTACCGAGTCAAGATCGGTGAATGCAGGGAGCAGGGTGAAAACATCATGCTGGTGTCTCTGATGCAGAAGCAAGACAAAAGACACAGACGACAGGACCAAAACATCAACATTGGATTTAATGTGTTTGAGGTGAATAAGGTCTTTGTCTCTTGCCTGATAGCCAGGCCTAGGTGTATATGCAGTAGGTATCCTGTAGGTATCAGACTGCTGTTAGTCATGACTGCATCAAGGCTAAGCAACATTTTTCAAATTTAGCCCTGATTCACCTGCTGTCCGATTATCACAGGGCCGTCGTCCTGAGCTTGGATGAAGGTCAGCTTGCTATGTGACTCCAAGCTACTAAAAAAAAGAAAAACAGATTGCAATTATAACTTAACAAAGTGAGCAGAGGGAATTGAGCTTATTTTGACCAATAAACTAAAGACATTTAGTGAAAAGAACAAAGAATTTGCATCTTAAAACTGCTTCTGCTTTATGAATACATTGAAATTGTCAAATAGTTCTGATTTTAATATAAATATTTTTGGTCTTTTGCTTTTCCTCAAGGTGCCTCAAGAAGTAAGTAACATTTTGATTTTTGTTGCTTGATAAACAACTAATACAGTTAACACTTAAGTTACACTGAATGGAAATGATGACCTGCTGATCTGTGGTGTTGCAGCACCAAGGAAAGAGGGGAAAATTTCCAGCCTGTTTCTTCAGTAGAGCCAAATGTGTGAATCAGACGGAGACTTATAAGGATGCACGTGAGGTGATGAAGCTGATGACACTGGAGCCTGGTGAATACTTGATCGTTCCAGCCACCTTTGACCCAAACATGACGGTCTCCTTCATCCTGACCATCCTCTCCAAGTCTGAAATTAACGTCTAGTAAGTCGAGTTTAAGATCTCCAGTTAATCAGAATGTGAAGGTGTTCAATAATGGCTGTTAAAAAGCTCAGTTTTAAAGACACTATTGGATATGATACAATCAGAAATAAATCTGTTGTATTTCATTTGTTTTGTATGGAAGCCCGTTTCTGCCACATGAAATTAAAAAAAGCCAAACAGAAAGTCAGATTTATGACTTACAAAGTCAAAATTCTGACTTTCATACTTAATTATGAGTTACAAAGTCATAATTTCAACTTTCAAAGTCATAATTATGAGATATTCGACTTTCAAACTTTGTAACTCATAATTATGACTTTGAAAGTCAAAATTATGACTTTCTATTTGGGATTTTTTTCATTTTCATGTGGCGGAAACAGGCTTCCATAGTTTTGGTTTTTTTGGGGGGGGGGGTTTTGTAGCTCTGAACAATAGTTAAAATATTTTTGACAATTTATATATAACATTTTTCCAGTATTTCAAATGCAAGCCAATGTAGAACTGAATGGAAATTTGGTTCCTGAATAATGCACCATAATAGGGCATCAGGTGGTAAAAGATGGATAGATTTACAGTTTTTCCACCTCAGACATATTAAGATTGTGTTTGGGGCTGGTTGAGTGGAACAGATTTAATCTTAAGTCTGTTTTCCTTTAGTGCTATTCCTTAATGTCTGATTCTCCTTTTTAAAGACGAGTAATCAGATTATCCAGAGTTTCTTTACTTATCCCTGTTGAAAACCACTGACCTGAAGCTTTGGAAGAAATCTTAATGTTTCAATTTGAAGACTTTTATGGTGGCCAAGAGCTATGTTTGGGTCCACAGGGAGGCAGTTATGTGTACTCTTTAGTTCCGCAAATAGATACTTATATTATCTGACATTTTTGACATGAAAATGTGTTTTATACTGTTAATATTATCAAATGATTAAACCTTTTACTTAATATGTACACCAAAGATGGAGTAAAATAATGCTAGTGTACCCTTCCCTGGCCTGCCACCTTAGAGTGGTGGAGGGGTTTGACGTTAGGAGCTATGCTGTCTGGGGGCTTTATGGCCCTAGTAGGGTCACCCAAGGCAGAGTGGTCGTAGGCCAGGCATAGCCAGGCCAGGCTCGAAGTGGAAACATGGATCCCCCTTCCAATGGGCTCACCACCTGTAGGAGGGGCCAAAAGGGTCGGGTGCGATGTGTGATGGGTGGCAGTCGAGGAGAGGACCTTGACTTTCTGATCCTCGGCTGAAGAAGCTGGGTCTTGGGTTGAGGTGGCTCAGGCATCTGGTTAGGATGCCTCCACAGGTGAGGTGTTCTGGGCATGTTCCACCGGGAGGAGGCCCAGGGGGAGGCCTAGGACACTCTGGAAGGGCTATGTTTCTCTGCTAGCCTGGGAGCACCTTGGGGTTCCCCCAGAGGAGCTGGCCCAAGTGGCTGGGGAGAGGGAAACCTGGGCTGCTACCCCTGCGACCATACCCAGATAAGCGGAAGAAGATGGACGGAAGGACGGACGGATGGGTTTAGTTTAATTTTATTGTTGAATTCTTTAAAACATCACTGTTTCTTGTTTCTCCTCTTAGTGAAAACTCTGATGCCTGCAACCTTAATCAAATGGAACCAGAGAAGGTAGGAAACATGTGGTGTTTTCCTTAACCATGGGTCAGTGTGTTCTAACTACTGTAGGATGAATTTGATATTAGAGAATTCAAATCTTTAGAAACCACCCAGCTCACGTGGAACACAGCCTCTCTAAATAGAACGGAAAGTTCTCCTGAGGTGAGGAATCCACCTACCCAATGCTGGTGCAGATTCTCAGTCATCCAGGTGATAGTAATTCCAAAAAAGTAAAAAAACAATCCACTGGACTTTGTTACCAAGTTTGAAGACATTTCCCTTCCCATCCAGGAAGATTTTTTAATTCAAAATGACTACCCAAATAACTTAAAACAAATTTTAACTGATTTAAAAATCTGGTCAAATAGAAATTAGAAGCCTGGAGAGGATAGAGGGGGGTACCCAGGCTGGGAGATTTCTAAAGTAGAAAGAAGATTAGATTGTAATCGGCAACAGAACAATGGAAGAAAATTATTGACATGACAGAAACCTATTGTTTAACTAAACCAGTTATTTTGCTGAGATAACAAAAGAAAAATTTGAATAAATAGAGAAATTAGATATAGCAGCATAATGTTTAAGAACAGTGCAGTGGCTCTCAAACTGCCCGGCATGTTTTAGATGTCTCTGCTTCAGCACACCTGAACATTTTCACATCTGCAGCATCAGGGGCAGCATCAGAGGCAGCAGGGTTTGGATAATCAGACATGTGGTAAAGTCATGAAAATATCCACCACATGCAGGACAGTAGGTCCTGAGGATTGTTTGACATCGAGCAGAACAAGTAAAAATGTTCCACAGCTTCCATTGCTGAAATAACTGGCTCTAGCACTAATGACCAGGTTTGCCTCTCCTCTCCCTTGGATTTTGGCCAAAAGAAGGAAGAATCATCTGCCCATTGACCTGTAATGGTGTTGAACCTTAACCTCCCCTGCAATCAAGCTTATTGGGGAATAAAATTCAATTTAGGCTTATACGAATTATACCAGATAAGTTAAATTGGCAGGCTGCAGAACAAAAAACATTTTTATTTGTTTTTATAGATGAATGGTGATAATGACTAATTGCAGCTAAACTCTGACTTCTCTGCAGACCACTTCACAGGACAATGTAGCGGATGAAGATAATAAGAGAACCTTGTTCAGACAGATATCTGGCCAGGTAATGTTCTTTTTAATTATAGGTTAACGTCTTGCAGTTTAATCTTATTTTTGATTACGATTCATTTCTGTATTTATAGTATGTGGAAGTGGATGCTGAGCAGCTCAAACATCTCCTTAATGAACGAATCCTAAAAGGTTTGGACAGTACCACCATTGTAACATCACAGCATGTCAGGCTTTGTGCTCATTCTTTGTTCTGTTTTTGTTTAAGGGGACCTAAAATCTGGAGGTTTCAGCACTGATGCCTGTCGCAGCATGGTTGCTTTAATGGATGTATCCTCTGAGATGTTTACTTTAATCCCATATATCTGAGGAAGGTAGAACATTCCAAAGCATGTCTGGCGCTAAATTTTCTTAAACATTCTGTAAGTCTGTCTGTCTGTCAGTCTGTCTCTCTGTGTGTCATACCTTAATGAAATGTTTAAACAGACATCTGTCACTGGCAAACTGGACGATAAGGAATTCATTGGTTTGTGGAGGAAGATCGTGGCATACAAGGTGAGTGGATAGAGGTTGATTAACAAAAAAGCATCCAGATGCTTTAACCATGAAAACTGCATAACAGATAGTCATATTTAAAGGGAGGAAAGAGTTTATGGCTGGTTAATATTGGGTGTGAGTCCTGGCCAGGTTTTCTTTCTGTTCAGAATTTGTGTTCTCTCCTTGACCTCAGGTATGAGTATATGCATGGTTGTATTTTCTACTTTTTCCTGTGATGGACTGGTTATCCAGGGCGTACACCTGTTAGTTGTTCATACTCAGAGCATGAATGAATCTGACCTAAATTAACAGCTGATCTGGTCATGCCTGTAGGCAGTGTTTTCCATTTGCACAGGTATAGTTAGGATGCTTGCATGTTGTTATGTTGTGCTGCCATAGATGAAAACAGATCAGTTTAGCTGGACTGTAACATTAATCTAATTCTATACTCATTAGCTGTGTTTCCATCATGTTTTTAAATGTACATTTCAAATTATAACATTATAACATTGTAGAATAATCCTGCTATAACAAAACAAAAAAAAACAAACTTTCATATGTGGATGCACTGTACTGTATAAACTGTATATAATACACTTTTTTCTTCCTTTGGCACGTTCTTCTTCTCTTTTGTCGGTTTGAGCTGATGTGACGACTAAATTTCTCCATTGTGACTTCAATAAAGTCAATCAATCCATCAATCAATCAATCAATCAATCAATCAATCAATCAATCATCAAAATAATGAAATGTCAAAATTCAAAGTTTTTCAAAACTTTTTCAGTGGGCTTAAGATGGCATTTCTTAAAAACTGGTAAAGCATTAATATTTTCATCAAGCACTAAGTAGGATTTTTGTGGGATATTACTACATTCTATATTAATGTGCAATTATTTTCTAAATCTTAGTTTTATATCTAAGTCTATAACTTATTGCTAAATATTACCAAACAAAATATATGTACTAAATATCTCTTAAATGTAAATATTAAATTGGGGCGTGCAGGTGACAAAGTGGTTAGCGTGCATGACCCATGTGCAGAGGTTCAAATCCGGCCTGTGGTTCTTTGCCGCATGTCTCTCCCCCTCTCTCATACCCCCTTTTCTGACAGCTACTGTCCAGAAAACGAGCTGCTAGTGCCGTAACCCAACACCACCACCACCCCCACAAAAAAATATCCATAAAGAGTAAATGGGAGATGGAAAAAGAGTTAGTCTGGTGTCCGCATTCCAAGAATTCTTCAGTACGCTGTATTTCTTATGTGTTTGGCACCCGTTGACATAAAGTCCTTATTGCTTTTTTTTTTCTCTACTCCTCTAGGGAGCATGTAACACTACATTCTAGATGATAACAGATCTAGCCTGATGGCAATACAGTACTGGAAACCTGACGCCATTTTTCTCAGATGTTATCCATTTTGGTTTAGAGCACTTACTTTCTGTTAAATACAATCACGCTTAAAGTCAACTTTTGACTTTATTATTTAAATTTTTTTTTATTCTAGTCAGATTTTAAAGGTTCTTTAATTAATTATATGACAATTGTATGGCAATATATTAATACTCACATGATGTTTAAAATGTGCACAAGTTTTTCTGATTACTAATATTTTCTTTTTTACTATTTCTCCGTTTGGTCTCCATGGTGGACCTTTTTGCCTGTTGATTTCATTTTATTGCATAAAGCTAAACATCTGTCCTCTGTTTTCCTCCAGGACATCTTCTATCACAGTGATGTGTCCCGGACAGGGACTCTGTCACTGAGTGAACTGAGGAAAGCAATCATGGCTATAGGTAAACTTTTTTCTATCTTGCACTATCTTTGTTTGTCCTAAATTATATATATAAATGTTTGATATTATTTAGAAGACATATGCAAATGTTTCTATTTTTTCAACCACCTCTGCCAACAGATCCTGAACCTATGCATTACATAACGACCTCTGGGGGAATTTCCACATATGAAATATGTGGAAAAATTTAAATAACAGGATCTTATCGGCTCTCCCACTTAACAACACCCATCCAAATCCTAACCAATCATATCACTGTTCTCAGACACATTGGCATAAAGTTCTTCTTAGACAATGCTTCAAACAAGCAGCGAGAACTCCCAGGACAGGCCTGTAGGAACAGGATGAGATAATTTTGTAAGAGCCTGACATTTTGTCACTTTTCATAGAATAACAAACACAAACATAATCACACAAAAGTAAGGAACAAGTGTTTGGACCTCCTCTAAAACAACAGTGGGGCGAAGGGTGGCTAATTCCATGTGGACTGTGTTATAATTGGAGATCCCACTGCTTGCTGACAGCAGGCTCTTTTCCACTCAAACCTCAAAGCCCTACGTAGCTTTAAAGCTTTAACATTGATGTGCAGGATAGGGTCAAGCAGAGCAGAAAGGCACCCCCGCCACATCTGCTAGGCATCATCTCAAACCCCAATGCTTTTTGTTGTGAGGTGTTGCCTTAATGCAATGACTGGCAGCACCATAAATATGTGGAGTCCTTAGCTACAGAGAGGATCCTCTGAAGGGGGCTTCCTCTTAGGCGGCAGCGGTCTGAGAGAAAACCCCACACTGCTCCCCGGGCAGCCCACTGCCAAGGGAATGGGTTAAATGCAGAGAGGGAATTTTGTTGCTCTGTGTCAGTGTAATGACAATAAAACGCTGAAAAGAAAATAAATAAATTGCTAGTGCCCTAGGTCTAAAAATTATTGGATTACCACTGCACATTAGACAAGCCACCTCTCTGTCTCATTTTAAAACTCTTCTTAAAACCCACCTCTTTTCTTTGGTTTTTGACACCATGTAGAGCGTTGATTTTATGTATATACATGCATATTTTTATCCTGTGCGGGCAGCGCTTCTATTTTATTTACTTTTATTTATTTTTATTTATTTTATCTTTTTGTGCAGCACTTTGGAAACCTTGTGTTTATTGAAATCGTGCTATATAAATAAAGTAGATTGGATTGGAATCTGTAGCATTAACTTGCATATATTACCTGTTAAATGGTAAGAGAGAATAGTTGTTTTTTTATAATTTGCAAAGCAAGCAAGTTTTGTTTGTTGGTAACGAGTCCCGAC